CTACTCCTACTCCTACTCCTACTCCTACTCCTACTCCTACTCCTACTACTCTTACTCCTAATGCTACTCCTACTACGACTACGACTACCACCACCACTACACTGGGCTCTCCGGGCGCGGTAGGGGAACTTTGGAGTCAACAACGAGCACTTCTTCAGGCATTCTCCGTTCAGCATCTCCTGACACATTCGAACCGTTCGCCACCGCGCCGGCGTCGCAGAGTAAACCCTTTTGACCATCTTCGTTCGAAGCTCCTTCTGGAAGCCACGGCAGTGACGCTGTGGACAGGCGATCGACAGGAAGAGAACTAGTCTCACAACCAAGCACCAGCTGGGGTGAACAAGGTATTTGGAAGAGGTGGTGATCTACTTGCTTTACGCCCACACAGTTCCCTCAGTCGGCCGCTGTAGAACCGCAGTTCTGCTTCGCCTTTGGAGGTCTGAGGTCTGGCGCCCGCTGTCCGGTGAGCCGCTCGTGTGTGAAGAGTGGAACTATAGCATGGAGTGTCCACCTGCCCCCCCCCCAGCATCGAGCATTGGACTTCTTGGCTTTCTGAGTTCTTACCTTCTAGAGATTATGTAGTGGACAAGTACGGCAGGATGTGATGACTTTCCCAGCAGTGTGAACAGCAGATAGTGGATGGCAACCCTTTCAGGCAGGAAACGACAGGTGTTCCAGAGCATCCAGAGCTTGGGGCTGAAGGGTACCCTCCACAGAGTCCCCCACTGTCAGAGTTCATTTCGTTCTCATCGATCCACTTCGCCACGCTACACAAGCAACCAATGCCAATGCCATTGGTGTATCTTGTTAGGTCTGATTCAGTTGGTGCGTCCAAATCACCAATCAATGGATATGTGTGCGTAAGTGTGGCCCGACAAGAGGTCGCCGCAAAAATTGGAACAAAGGGTCCGAGTAAGAGTAAGAAAAAAGTGATGTTGGCAACCCAAACACCAACCAAAAGAAAATCTATGAAAATCTTTGAAAACACATTCCAAGAACTCCTTCAATTCATGTATATACCCCAGACGACCACGACCGGGTGGTCGTCCGATTTTCTGACCCCGTCTCCTCGTTCTCCAAGCAGCCACCCTCCTGGGTGGGACAGCTGCTGCCCGTCGCCGCCTGCAGCGGGCCGAGTGGTGGGACAGGTGGGACAGGTGGGCCTGCCCCTCACATCGAGCGAGGCCTGAGATGGATATGGGATGGATAGTACTCAGTTGTTTGGATAGATGGACCTATCGTAGCTTGACCTGAAACAAAAGCCATGCGAGGAGCAATCCAGGTCATCCAACCACATTGTCCTGACCTCGATTTCGGCCGCTCATGATGAAGGTCAAAGACATTCCGAACGCTTTCCTCATACACCAAAGGGTCTAAGTCCGAGCAAGTCGCTTGAAGACATTGTACAGTTACCAAATCACAATTCCTGTTCAGCTCACACTGAACGGCCTTGCGCTGTACAGCAACCCATCTGCAGCTTTCAACGTGCTGAACGACTGCTTCGACGACACTGCGACATATGGCCGTAGGTCATGTTACCGCTGATCAACCCCAATTCTCCTATCCCAAAAGAGCTTCACAGTGAAGAAACCTTTGTGGCGATGTTGACCCACCATTCATTATTTTAGTGCTTTGGACCCGCCCCATGTGGTTGACCATATGGTTGACCTCAGAGTATCGCTTCTCTCGCCTCCGCATCGCCGGCCACGGAGTATCCACCACAGAAGCCTCGGCACAACTGAATCGCCTCAGGCTCCTCTGATGCTCATCCTGTTGGGTCGAAGGAGCCAAGAACATCAACATGGAAGGAAGTCGGTCCATGAATTAAATTGAATTCTAATTAAAACTAGTAGCTTCTTGTTACTAGTAGTAAGGCACTTGTTACTAGAAGCGATGCACTTGTTCCTAATAGCTTCTTGTTACTAGTAGTAAGGCACT